TCCCTTAGCCATCTATCCCTGCCAGCACCATCCCAAGAAAATGGAAACATGACTATTAATAGATCATGTAAAAATTCCACTTAGCAGAAATCATGAAGTTCAGACAGTAAAATATTGATGTTTTGGAGACTCTTTAGTCACCCCCCAAAAAAAAACATCATAGGAAAATATTTTGATCTGATTCAGTAGCTCATTAAGAATGTGGTTAAAGATGTCATTTACTGTTTATAGATTCCTCTTTATCTTAATGGAATTTTCTCTGTTTAGGTGTGAAGAATGTTGTATTTCCATAAACTTCATCTTTTTAAAAACGTGTTGTCTACTGTTTTGACTAGTAATAAGCTGAAGTTTTCCTTTGCCTTGTATATTGGATGCATTATTTAAAAATATACCAAATCCCTTTATAGAACACAACATGGGATAGATAAATGTTATTTATTACATTAAAAAATGTTCAAACACATGAAAATATGCTAAGCTGATTTTCAATCAGTCCAGAAAATAAACGATGCATCCAAGGGGAAGTAAACACCTCATCTTTGCTTTTATTTGCCTTCTGATGTCCTGGAAGCAGTAGAACCCAAGAATGACAGAGGGCAGGGGAGCTCTTTGATGAAGTCCATATGAAAAAGCTCCTGTCAGGATACAGAGAACAGGATGGAGAAGAGTGGAGAAGGACTCTGTAGATGTAAATGGAAGATTCCTAGTGTATCTGGAATTGCCAATAATGGAAATAAATTGATACAAAAATGGAATGTAATGACTAGAGGGAGTACTATATGGTGCCTACTGTTCAAAAAGTCAGGATTTCAAGAAGCAATATTCAAGAAATCCACAATCATCTAACAGTATAAAATATACTGTTATATTAAAATATACTGTTAAAATATACTGTTATATATATTATATATACTGTTATATGTATATTATATATAAAATATACTGTTATATATATAATATAAACTCAATACTGAATGCCTAAAACTTATAATATAAAATTAAATGAAAAATTACTGTGTATTATCAAAGCCAAAAATTCTTTTTTTTTTTAAAGATTTATTTATTTATACAAGCACTGGTTACAGTCAGAAGCGCAGGAGGGTGAGAAAAGTTACCAGAGCTAGAGCGTGGAGCAGAACAGGCAGAAGGGCCGAAGTACACTGCTGAGGGTAGCAGTGGGCACAGCAGGAGAGGACTTTGCGCCAAGTGGGACCTTGCTGGTGGCTGGGGATCGAACAGGTGCTGCAGAGGCTACGGGCAGCTTTACAGCATAGAGGTGGGGGGCGGGGAAAGGAGGGCTTGGGGTCAAAATAAGGGGGTTGTAATTGTAAGGGGAATATAAAAATAAAATTTAAATAATAATAATAAAAAAATAAATAGATTGAGAAGAGAAAACAGCAATTATGCAATGTTACAACTGACAATACTTAAGCTGAATTTAATCATTAGGGGAAAAAAGCCAGTGAAAAATTTTGAATGTTTTATTTAAAAAATAGAGAGGGGGCCCTCCCTGGTGGTGCAAGAGGTTAAGCACCACACTATGAAGCTATCTGCAGTCTCTGCAGCATGAGTTTGATCCCCTGGCAGGCCCGGGAGCAACCCACATGGGGCAGCAGACCTCTCCTGTCTCTCCTGCTGCTCCCCTCAGCAGTGTATTTCAGTCTGTCTGCCTGTTCTGTTGACTCTGTCTCCGGTGAATCCTCTCATCACCCTGCACCTCTAGCCTGTACCCCAGCTCTTGTATGCATAAATAAATAAATCTTTAAAAAAATTAAAAATAAAATAATATATTTAAAGTAGTGAAATCCAAAAATCAACAGACTTATTTCAGAAATTTGACTGTAAACATTTAGGAAGAACCTTAAAGACAGAGTCTTTTGTCAGTCAACATGTTTTGTGAAAATAAGAGTCTAATAAGAAGCACGAAAACATATGCAATAGTTAAAATGTTTTCTAATTTGACTGCAGAACTGAGATTACCAGCAGGGGGGAGGGTAGTAGGTGCAAACAAAAGGTGGAAGGGGCCTAATTGACTAGGATGGAGGATTATTGGGGTTAGCACTGGTTATAGATGTGGACTGATAACATATATTTGTGGAGGTGTGAACCTATACCCCTAAAACATATAATGTTGTAAACCAACATGTCCTCAATAAGCATAATTAGAAAAGAGGTTTTTATCCCCTGTCCAACAACCCTTCTGCAAAGTCTAAATACGTTGATATAATTATCTTTTTCCTCAGTTTGGTATCTCTGTGTCAGCCTGGAGATGAAACAAAAACCTTTATTTTTTATTTCTTTAAGGAAAAAGGATTTAAATAAAGGAAGAAATAGGAGCAAGGAAAAATAGAAAGAACGCTGGATAGTTTGAGAAGACAGGATGAACTGGATATACTCAGCAACATAACCCCTTGCTGTTATGTCAATGAAATATTTACCATTCTCACTTGCTTTGATAATCACTGTGGGTCTTTGTGGGTTTTAAATTGGTTTTGCCACTTGTGCCCATTTGTGTTCCCTGGCTTATTTATATCTAAACATTTATCAGTGACTTAAATAATAAATTTTGCTTGATTTGAAAACTTGGACTGTTCTTTCATCAGTCACTTTGTGAATTAAATCAGATTTCAAATGCTACTTAATAGCAACAAAGTCTACTGAGTATTGACTTTAATTAATTTTCTGTCTCTGACTTTGAAAAGCAATCAACAATTAAACTAATTTTAACCTCTTTTGGGGTGTTGGCTCCTTGAAATGTAATCTTATTTCTTGATATATCTTTAAATCTCTTAATGTAATAGCTTAAATCCATTCCTTGTTTTCTAGTGAAAAGAAAGTGTAGGTGGCAATTTTTTTTAATTGGCCTCTCCATCCTGAATGCATCAAGTTGCTGAAATTCTTGATCTAAACTCAAGCGTTTTAGAAACATTAGTTAATTCTTATCTCCTAACTAAACAATACTCGTAATTTTCTGATAGGCTTCAAGGCATGTCTACTAAACCATTAACTTCATTCTTGAGAAGCTTCAGTTTCTGAAATGAGTTTTCACTTCTTCCTCATAAAATAACAGCTTTGTTGGACATGCCACCGGATACTTACACTTTAGCTTTCAACTGGATTATCTTACATCCCAGGAGAAGTGTGTATGGGAACAAATAAATGGAGGTTACTCCAAGGGTCATGGGAAATTTCCCTGGAATACAGAGCAATGTGAGATATGTCTAAGGAAAATATTTAGTTTCATAATTTGGGGAGAGGATTTCATTTAGCACTTTTGGAACATGTGTTTAATCAGCAGGCAGTAAGCTCAGGAAAATAATACTGAAGTTTTAAACTTTCTGTCATTAGATGCTTAGCGCTGGTGGCCAACAGGTTCACAAGCAATGACAGAGCATTGAAGTAACACTTTGCTACCTAGGTTTTGTATCTAAAATTGTCTGGGGATTTTTTTGTTGTTGCTGTTGTTTTCCGTGTCATGCCCAGAATTGGTCACATTATTATCGTTTCCATTTCCTTTAGATTTACAGAACTCTGTGCTGAAAGGGAGCTTTGAGGCTGCTTTGTCCAATTCACCATGATGCTAAGTCTGTGCATTCCCTTGCATTTCCAAATCACCCAGCAAGTAACAGATGCTAAGGGAAATACAGTAAGTGAGCTATAAATTTCTCTGTATTGACTTACCTTGGTCTTGTCAATTTTTTGTAGGTCCCAGTTTTCTGTGAGTCAGGCAAATGGGGTTCTAGACTGAGGCTACCAGGAAATGCATGGTTTTGATATTCAGGGAAGCCTTTTTTACAATTACTATAAGCTATTTCCTATCTAATTTTGCCCTTCATCAAGGCTAATTTCTGGTGCAATTGACAAAATAAAACAGAGCAGTACAAGACATGGTTTGATTCTGGTAGGCCTATCCTGCCTCGGGTCCAGCCAGCTGATAGTGCAGGGCAGACTCAGTGACACAAGCTATTACATAATAGTACACACCTTAGCCATTACTATTTCCCTTTTGACAGACTGTTTCTAAAAAGTGCCAAATTGTGATTTTGGAAATGAGGTGATGCTTGGGTTATCTTTATAGAATTTAAAATGTGGTTTTCGAGCCACTATCTCTTTTAGAACTACATTAATACTATTAAATACTAACCATTGTATCTATGATCTCACAGAAAAGAGGCAGAATTGCAGAGCAATTAAAATCAGAAGTAGAAACAGAATAGATGTATTTGACTCTTGCCTCTACCATTTGTTGACTGTGTTACATGACCTTAAGCAAGTTACTTTAACCTCTTTGTTTCTTTATCTATAATATAGTACAATAAGCATATGTAAATTTTAAAAAAGCATGCAAATTGCTGTAGGAAGTGCTAGCCCATAGTAAGTAAGAAACAAAAATAGGCTGTTATTGTTATTGTTGGAAAAACTGTGATGAGAAGGCCGTCCATGCCAGGGCCAAGGAGGTGGTAAGGAGAGGAGCCCAGGCAGAACTCTTCACCTTTGCTGTACAGGCTAGAGATGCTGCAGCTGTCTCATGGGATTGCTGCACTAGAATCCCCACTTTTTACCTCTAGGCACATAGAGAGGTATAATGACAATAAAATAAATCTAACAAGAGATCTGGAAAGGGATATTCCACAACTTCCTCATAAGACAAGCAGATTCTGGGCCTCCCCAGTGGCGTAGCGGTTGAGCGCTGGGTTGCGAAGCTGCCAGAAGCCTGTGCGGTGCCAGTTCGATCCCCGGCCCACATGGCGCGCAGACCTTTCCTGCCGCCCGCTGCTCCCCTCAGCAGTGTACTTTGGTCCTTCTACCTGCTCTGCTCCCCGCTCTGGCTCTGGTGAATTCTCTCACCCTCCCGCGCTTCTGACTGTGCCCAGTGCTTGTATAAATAAATAAATAAATCTTTAAAAAAAAAAAAAAAAAAAAAGACAAGCCGATTCTGGCACCAGGGAATCAGGAAATAGTCTTTCATCTTTCCTAAATCCTTTGTTTTGCAGTTTGGAGCCGTTTCCTTGTTCCATTTTAATGAAGAGGAAAAGCCCCTACTCACTGGATTCCATAAATGGTGAGTTGGTTGACATGGGTGGGGCGAGAGAGGGTAGTAAATGGAAACACACAACTTGAGCTAGGAGATTTTTATTATGATCCTAGTTTTACCCCAAACTGTTGAGTGAAATCTGAACAAGTCATCTGTCTTCTCATCAGTAGATGATCTTTCAGGTTTAGTTCACCTCCAATATGCCATGATGCTCATAAACATCTTGTTATGTGGTTGCTGCTTTGAAATAGTTTTAGAGATGACTTAAGTGAATCGTTTACTACGGTGCCTGGCTTGTCGTGAAAATCCAATGTGTTTTTTGCTCTCTTTTCTTCTCTCTTCCCCACATTTGCCTCCCTTCACTTTAAGAGAAACACCATTATGATAGACTGTTGTAAATCTTAGATCACTGCAAATTTGACTTAACAATCTTTTAACAATAAACACTGAAAAAGAAATAAGATGTATTCATTGATGATGGGAGCAAAAGGAAGTAAAGGAGCTAATTGTTCTTTGTCCTCATGATTGTAGTGGGGTGAGGGGGTGGGAGAACAGTTCATCAGGATCTACAAGATCATTAATGGTGTTGAAGACTCTTCTTGTTCCAGAACTGCACCATGGCTGGTGCTGGACCCCCATTTTGAGTTGTTTTGATTATTCTTCTGGGAATTTTTTTTTTTTAATCTGACTTCAAAATATACCCCAATAGCAGTCCCACATCCATCTGTAGCAGGCTTCACTCTATATTCATACTCCTTATGTTTAGTTTTTAACCATTAGCTTCTCTCAATTCATTTGTGAGCATGCATGTTGCCCAAATGGTGAAGACAGTGCTTACCTTTAATGAGTGCAATAATTGATTTCCAACAATATGAGATATCAAAATATTTCTTCAGCCAGATTTTGCTGACTGGCACACAACTGTATCTTACTCTTGCCATTTGCACCCCAAACAACATATGTATTCAGAAGTAAAAACATAATATCTTGGAGAAGAATGTCTGCAACGCAGAGCATAGCAGATACCTTAACTTTCCAAGGCAAATAAAAGCAACTGGGGTTAATTAATTACAAACAGAACTTGAAGAAAAATGCTCTACATGAGTAGTTTTCAACCTTGGCTGCATATTGGAAATACCTGAGGAGCGTTACAAAATACAAATACCTGTGTCCTTACGGTTCTGCTGAATGTTATCTGGGTACAGCCTGGGCAATAGTATTTTTTTAAAAACTCTGATGATTCTAATGCATAGTCAGGTTTGAGAGCCACTGTTCTATGTTTGTGTATCTCAAAGATAACTTGAAATATTTGTGTGAGGGTAAAGGCAGCTTTAAGTTTAGTTTCTTCAGTTGCTTCTGAATTGTGCACATAAATACTTATCCCCATAAATTACTAATACAGAATATGACTGAACATGGGAAAACTGAGTCTCCATTAGGGTACACAACATAACAATGGAGATATAAATTTACGTTGCTCTTGTGAAAAACGTGCAGAAATGTGCAGATGCATGTCTAGAGGGAAGCCCCTCTGATCATAGGGATCCCCTCTCCTCCTGTTCTGTCACCCTTCTGTCTTCAAAACTGTGATTCCACATGTCAGTCTGAAATAACTGCTCAAACTCTAATCATCACAACAGGAAAAAATGAAGGGACAATGAATGAAACCTTTGAAGATATTTCCAGGAACTGAAACAGGACAACCCCAGTTCCATTCCTTTAGTATGACTCTTACCTGGGAACAGTTTTGCTCCTCGGGGAATATCTGTCAAAGATATATTTTGTTTATCACAACTGGGATAGTGTGGAGATGGGGCATCTAGAGTGGAGATCCTTGGCATCTAGAGTGTAAAGGCCACACTATATGGTGCTCAGCATTGCAGGATACATGAGACCCACAAAAAATTATCACACCCAAATTGTCAATAGTGGTGATGTCGAGAAAATCTACAAAGTTTAGCTACAACTGGGTCATATATTTATACCCACCTAGAAGGAAAATATAAAATTATAGCCCAAATGCTGAGAGACCGTAGGCTTATTAAAAAATCAGGTCTTCTGTTGCTACCTGAGTGGGACTATTTTCTTGCACTATAACTTCCAACTCTGACCAAATAGGTTTCAGAGCTAAAATTTGTCCTTATCCATGATCTATCCTGCAGACATGAAGCAAAGTAACACCTGGCATCTGCTATCCACTTTTTGAAGCAAGCCCAGCTATTTGCATAAACAGAAATGTTATTTTAATGAGGGTTTTTCTGGCTATTGTTCCTAGGACATTGGGGTTACATTTTAATGAATTAATCTCTCATGAATATTCAGAAAGATCCTGCTGGGCATTGACTACATTAGGGTTACAAAAGAAGGTGCCAGTATTTAATGTGCACTTTGCATTTTCTCTTTCTCCCCCACCCTCCCCTTGGATGGAGATATTCCTTGAGGTAAAAGTGCAGTATCATAGGTATCTACCTCCTGTGGGCTCTTCTGGTGCTTTTATGTATATGATAACACTATAATAGAATAAGGCTAGACCTCTAAGTACAACCAATACATCTCTTTATTTTATGAATGATAAAATCAAACCTTAGAAACAAAGCTTCTAGTCCTACCTCTTTATCAAGGTAAACATGTGATCTTGAACATGTTCCTAACCATCTCTCAGTCTCAATATTTCCATACCTAAGATGAAAGAATTGGAGTAGATGATGTCTTGGGTCCTTCCTAACATTTAAATTATTTCATATCATGTAACTATGATGGTAGGAGTTTCACTGAGACATATGAAAGGAGGAATGAAGGAGCTGAGACTAGAATCTACTTTCTGAATTTAAACTACCTTGAGGATTTTGCCCTTTTGCTTTGGTTTTAAGGTTTATATTGGCTGTCATTTAGTAAGATGGAAATATAAATGCCTTGAGAGGCCAGGCATTCCACAAGATAATGTTTTGTTAAACAATGTTAAGACTGGACCATTCTGAACACTTTTTCAGTTCTGTTTTAACTCAATTCAATTTAAACTCTAGGACAGTAGCAATTCACAGATAATGAATGAAGTTTTCTGAAATTTGGAAGAAAATCCAATGAGATTCTGTCTATAAAGCAATTTTTCTTAAAGTTCATATCTTTTTATAATGACTTTATACATAATTCAAATAAGCTCCTATTTTTTTTAATATTGAGGCAAAATCTAATATCTGATGAGGGTGTACAATCTGGTTTATATAATTAAAAGAAAGAACATCAGGTCACATTCAGAGAAGCTTTCTATTATGTTTTCCTCAGATGGAAAAAGTTTCTCATGGCTAACTCTTTCATGTGATTCACACACTTACGTTTAGCTAGCTTCCTCTCACAAAATGCTTTTCTTTGGAAACTCTCAAAAGTTATGGAGAAGACTTTGCTTTCTGGATTATTGTTTTCCTTGGATTAATATATTATGAATACTGGCTGCATTTGGGAAATGACATCCTACAAATTGTCTTTTCTCCTAACTACACAGCTTCCTTCAAAGAGATGAGGAAGAAAAGGATCATTGCAACAAGGAAGCTGCCAATGACACACAAACATGACAGTGCATTTTCTATACTTCTTGTTAGTTTCCAGAGTGATTTATGTTTTCTACGAAAAAGCCATGTGTCCGGGTTAAGTCTCAATTTTAGATGAAGCTGCTTTAAAAATATACAAATCCTACAACTTTATAGTATTTGACATGTTTTACAGTAAAGAACCCAGGATAATGCTGGCCTTGATTGCATCACAATTTCAATGTTCATTTTATGTTTTCATACATCACATGTCTTATTTCTCAAAGTGTTTTTTTTAATCCCCTAGAGTTTAAACTCTAAAACAAGTTGATAAAAATTACAATGAACAGGTATATTTTTTAACAGGGAGATAAAAATAGGATCTAGATCAAATCAGGGTTTTGGAAAAGTTAGTAAATTTTTAAAGAGCTCTCAGTATATCCAAATATTTTGAAAAGTGAGTTCTTTGGAAGTTGCCATAGCAGCAAGTATTTGAGACTACAAATATCCTTGAGATTATATGTTATGTCAGTGTAGAAATTGTCTTATTATAGAAAATGTCACAGATTTTCAGTTCAACATTACTTGGTAACAGTCACGGCAGGTAAGAAAAATCTGAGAGAGTAGTAGGAAAGGCAGCTTTTGCTAATAATTCCTCATTTAACAGCCTTCCTAGGCAATTTAAAAAGAATGAAATGCATTACTTCGTGCACATTTCTTTCATTTGGAATAACTCTGTTTCTTAGATAGTGATATTCAGCACATATCAATAACCAGGTGTAGGTATCTGCCAAAGATGCAGATTGTGTTTCACATAATATGTCCAATTTTGCTAGACTAGTTTTGTAAACAGAATATGATTACTTATTCAACAGTGATCAGACAAAGTAAAATAGCACAAATGTTCAATGCTACTTCTATGGTGACATCCAGGGAGTCTCCTTCAGGGTTGATTAACTTTACACTGGAATCTAAAATAATTATGACTACACATGCTGGAGAATGAAATGTTCCTGTCAGGCAATGATTACAATAAGTATCAAGTAAGAATTCCAGCCAGGCAATCAGAAATCACCAATTATGCAGAGTGTCTGCAGAGATGATGTTGTTAGCTCATAAAAGTGCTGAACTGAATAACTGGGTAAGATTTTTAAAGGAAGCAGATGGGCCCCTCTTGGCTCCTGATAGTTGACTTAAGGGAGTTTTATACACAAGTTCAAACTGATGATGACCCATGATGATAGTCAGCTTGTAATGTCTCATTCGTTGTTACGTTATACACACTCATTGCAAAATTCTCTTCAACCACAGTGATGGAAGACATGTAAGAGCAATGATTATTTAAACTGATTCTATTTCTCTCATATTTTACCTTCCAAACCTCCTGTTTCTCCAAAACATGAATTTCTAATTTATGTCTATGAGGTATGCACCAACTATTTTATTTGTTTGCGTGTATATTTTTTTCTGTGCATTTTGTTCTATAACAAGAGGATTCACTTG